TTCTTTCTTTCTTTCTTTCTTTCTTTCTTTCTTTCTTTCTTTCTTTCTTTCTTTCTTTCTTTCTTTCCTTCCTCCCCAGTTACTAACACACTGCAAGCATGACCCATGGGACGATCCACTTTTTTTACTCTTGAATAAAATATGCATGAACCTTTTGAATGGATCATGACTCTTTATTTCCTTATCACTGAGCACACACACACACAGGTTCACCCAGCTATCCATTTGGGGACATTCCATTGTAAGTAAGTAAGTAAAGTTTTATGTAATAAAGCACCTTTCACAGAAGTATATTCACAAGGTGCTGTACAATCATTAACAGTATAAAAATGGTGGAAAGAATAAGATGAAACAGAAAAACATAATTACACATAAGCAACGAAAAAGAAAAAAATTCTAAAATTGTAAATCAAACACAAGGTCAACGCAGGGCAAAATATACAATACACAAAAACATAATGAATGTGGGAGAGAAAAATATGGTGTAAGTTCAATAATAAAGAAAGCACAGATTGGCGAGCATTTACATTTGAGGTAGGCTGGCATTAATGGTGAAAATGGTTAGCTAAACGCTTGAGTAAAAAAGTGAGTTTTTAGGAGAGTCTTGAAAGAGACAATGTTATCAAGGGAGCGCAGATTAAAAGGGAGTTCGTTCCAGAGCCTGGGGGCCACAGAGGAGAAGGACCGGTCACCATGGGTCTTAAAGCGAGTGAGGGGAACCATAAGGAGACGTTGATCCTGTGAGCGGAGGTCTCGTCTGGGGTTGTATGGTGAAATGAGACTTTTAATGTATTCTGGTGCTTGGCCATGAAGAGCTCTGAAGGTGAGGACCAGGATTTTGAACCGGACTCTGAATTGAACCGGACGCCAGTGAAGTTCTGCTAGGATCGGGGAGATGTGGGTGAATTTAGAGGTTCGGGTTAGGAGTCTTGCTGCTGAGTTTGGGACAAGCTGAAGACGATTTAACTGTTTCTGGTTAAGACAGGTGAACAAGCTGTTACAATAGTCTAAGCAGCTAGAAATGAAGGCATGAATTACAATTTCCAAGTCTGAACTGGACAGCAGGGGCCGGAGTTTAGAGATGTTCTGAAGCTGAAAGTAGCATGTAGATACAGGATTCTTTATGTGTTCGTCTAGAGACAGATCTGAGTCAAGATTTACTCCCAGGTTGTTCACATTCTGCTGAACAGTTGAACTCAAAGAGCCAAGATGTTATTTTTTAGTTTCAGGCGCCAGGATCAATGTCTCTGTCTTGCTGAGGTTTAAAAGTAGCAAGTTGTCAGACAGCCACTGGTTAACTTTAGTGACACATTTTATGAGAGGTGAGCTTGTGGGTGGTAGAGTCATTAACGGAGCAGTATAGCTGTAGGTCATCTGCATAGAAGTGGTAGGAGACGTCTGGGAAATTTTTGATGACCTCAGCAAAGGGGGCGGATGTAGAGCAGGAATAGAATTGGGCCCAGGATGGAACCCTGTGGAACCCCACAGGGTTGACTTCCATTACATTTCTACAGCCTAACCCTGACCACAAACCCTAAGGTGAGATACCTACCTGACCCTAAAACTAACCTAAACTCAATTCACACCTTGGTCCTAAACCCAACCCCCAACCCACCAATGGCATTTAAACTAAACGGGGACTCGATTTAGGTTAGGTTGACCAGATGTCCAGATTTGCGCGGGACTGTCACGCATTTTTCACTCTTGTCCCACCGTCCCGCAAATTGAAATAATGTCCCGCATTTGACTGGGTCAAATTTTGAGAACTAAAAAACAAATGCTTGTGAGGCGCGTGGGTGCGACGGAGGAGGGGGAGGAGTGTTCTTGCTCGGATACAGCGCGCGCGCATGTGGCAAGGAGCGGCAGTATTGCAAGCCGTTGGGGCCACAAATCGGGCGTATATTTACGTGCAAATCCTACCGCGCGGTGCCGTAAATAACGTGCGAACGCGCGGTGGGTTAGGGTTGGGGTTAGGGTTAGGGTTAGGTTAGAAAACGCCACCGTACGTTATTTAACGCCACCGAGCATGGCGCCACCGCGCGTTCGCACGTTATTTACGGCACCGCGCGTTCGCACGTTATTTACGGCACCGCGCGTTCGCACGTTATTTACGGCACCGCGCGTTAGGATTTACACGTAAATATACGCTCGATTTATGACCCTAAAGGCTTGCCATACGGCAGTGCACGATCTCCGCGGAGCTCAACAACACACGCTGGCTGCCTAGTCTGCTGCTGCTGCTGTGGTGGTCAAACACCGGGAACAAGGCTTGAACTTGTACTAAAGTAAAAAATATATTATTTCTGTGTACCGCATGAGCTTCACTTCACTCTCTCACCGCTCAGATAGTTTCATTCCTGCTTTGCTAAACCTAAAAAAAAAACCTCACACAGCTGACATGATTTGGCGAATAGAATGAGAACAGTTTTTAAAGTCATAATAATTTAGCTGTAACTGTGTGTTGCGTGTTTGTGGACTAAAGTGTCCGACTGTTTTTCTCCTTTTAACCAGATCTTCTATCAGTTGTTTTAATGCAGGTTCTGAATCTTTCCACGTTTGAGTGTTTATCAGACAACTTGTCACAGCTTTGACAGAGCAGAAGCTGCATCTTTCATGAAAAGTTTCTTGCAACTTAAAACAGTTACTTAAAAATATGAAGTTAAATGTTTAATTACCTTTTTTTTGATAAACTTGAATTATTTCATTGTTTTGCGCTAACAGAGATCAATTAATGTAATGTGAAACCTGCAATAAATTAAAATCTATGATGACATCATAATACTGATGATGTGTCCCATTGTCCCTTGTTAGCACCATTTTGTCCCGCATTTGGTTTCTTGGGATCTGGTCACCCTAACTTAGGTCCCCAAATGCACCAGTTGTCCCCAAATGTGGGCATTTTGTTTTAAAATTACCCCCAAATGTCAACGAAAACAAACCCACACATAGACGTGATTCATCCAACTCAGGCTTAGTTATCTGACTAGTAGAACTTGTGAAATCATAAATAGCAATAAACAGTTGTGAAAGCGAGCTGTGGTCAAATCAAAAGTTAAAAATGATACATATTGAGGCTTTTCAAAATATATAAACTGTTCAGAGCCATTTTAGCAGTGCAAGGTCATATAAATAAAAAAGTGTGACCTAATATCAGAAACTTTCCAACTTATATCGCTCATTTATTAGTCATGAAAGACTTGAGGAGTTAATTTGGTTGGTTTAATAAAAAGTCATGACAAACATAACTTTATGTGTAAAATCTGAGTCACAGTTAAAACTGAAAGTGAAAATTTGAAGAACTGCAACATGTTTTCTAGTACCAAGGAAGCAATAAAAGTATAAATCTCAGTTCTCTTTGTTTTAAAACTAGATTGGAAATTATGCAAAAAAACCTATTTTATACATAAATACTTTATGTATATGAATTAAAATGTATTTATTCATTATACATTTCTGAAAAAAAAAAACATTTGAATGTAATATTGACCCTTTGCACCCCCCACATGCGATGCTCCAGCAGTGTCCTCCTCTCAAGGTAACAGAGCGACGAAGCAGTAACGTTGAATAAAGCAGTGGTTTGACAACCACAC